CGTCAACCCCTATTTGGTAACCCCCACATCTTGGATGAAGCAGGGAACCCCTTGTCGCTACACACAAACTCTCCCTGGCTCACATGGGTTAAAAGAGGTCTTTTAACGATAGGTGACTTGTGGGATATTGAGGGAGGGGGATGGAAAACTGCAGCCCAGTTGCGACACCAACTGCCGCATGCTCAGAACATGGAAGGTTGGACCTGCTCCGGGAGGCCATACCGCTGGCCTGGCACATAACCCTAAAAAAAGGCCCCGCGACCCGGCAGGGGGACTGGGTTATCAAGTACACAGACCTGCCCCTCCCGCTGGTGGTATACAGGGTGCACACAAATGAGCGCGGCGTGTGCACACTAGAAGCCCATGAGCCGGCCCTACCTGGAGCAAGGATGTCCAAGCTGACACGCAATACAGACTTGGACAAAGAGGAGCTGTCGGTCGACCTTATGCACATAAGGGTGGTAGGGGACCATAAACAAGGGCACTATGCCTATGAACCCTCGATACCAATTGCAGGACTGCCCTTCGATCCATTGGAGTGGGAATGGCCAAACCAAAAACCGATGGGCCTGTGGGACTACACAGTCAAAAAGGGATATCGAGCCATGCCCCTGGAGCAGCCAATCAACCACACACTGGCTGAAAGATGGGCCCGGGACTCTCCTCTGGACCCGGACCAGCTGGACGACCTGCCATGGCCCAAATACACAAAGATTATGCCTGCGAACCTCCGGTCATTACAATGGCAGATACTTCACCGGTGCCTTCCAACGCCGGACTGGCTGGTGTCTAGAACCGACCTGGAACAAAAAGGACGACTGTCCCCCATCTGTTCTTACTGTGGGAGGGCGTCACAACCTGCCCGTGCGACACTGGAACACGGCCTGTTGGCATGTCCTATGGTAGTACAGCTGTGGCGCTGGTGGGACGCAGCCTTCCACTCCTTAACATCGCTCCATATTCCATGGGACTTGGGCCTCCTTCTCCTCGGTAARAACCAGCACTTGCTRGCAAGCTGGTCCCCATATGCAGTTAACCTATTCACCTACACACGACTGCACATCCTCATGCTCRCCTGGCRAGCAAGATGCTCTTTTGAGAGGAGAGACCATCAGTTTGGATTGCAACAGGCCCAGCAA